ATAGTAAATCACATATTTGATACCTTCACGTCAAATGAATTCTGGTGTGCAGTACACCTCAAATTCAAACCAAAGCTGATATCCTAATATTATCTTGTTACCTACCACATAAAAAAATGGAGAGGAAACTCACTACTACATTTATCAAAAACTTTATCAAAAATCATCAGAACAAACATATAATCTTGGCTGGAGATTTTAATTCCTATCCACCCTTATCACCATCAATAAATGCACCTTCTCCACCTTACAAGTGAACAATATATAATTATTTACACAAATTCATCGACATAGGAAAAGTCACCAATAAAGAGATCGAATATACTCATATCACCAGCTCTAATACCTCCAGGATAGATCAAATCTGAATAACACGAGATCTCACCAGCAAAGTGCTAAGCTATAAAGTTTTTGATCAACAGGCCATTCCAACAGATCACAAACAAATAACCATAATTATTAACTGGTTCGAATACAAACCAAGCAGAATATCATTTTCAACACAAATGTATCAATTTCAAAAGACAACTAAAGAACAAATTAAAGCCATGCAGGAAGATATAGAGCTAGCTTGTCTAGTATCTCCCTGTCAATCATGGCAAAAAATAAACTTTATAATCAAAAAAGCAATGGATGACAATATTCCTACTAGAAAACAGCTCAATCCCAAGCAAAAAAAAAACCCATTTCAACACTATTATATGGTAATTCATTCCACCAAAAAAGCAATACAAGCCCTTAGGAATTCTAGTACCAGAATTCCCAAGCTTCACTCATTAGCACGCAACTTTCATAACAAAATCACCAATAGTAATCCTTTATCTTTAAAAACTCTCAGGAAACAATAAGGTTTTTAATTCATGAAAAAGTTACAAAGGCAAACCAAATGGTCTTGGATGAGTTACGAAGAGAAATAAGTGAAAATTATAACAGATTTTGGCAAAAACCTAAAAGTGCTCTAAAAAAAGCTCTTGGAGATTTAAAACCATCACTTGATTTATCAATTCTGTTCAATGGTAGTCAACTACATGAAGAACCTGACAAATTAATTGATATTGTTACTAATCACTTCACTAAAATTCTGGAGCCGAAACCCTTCAGCCTCAATCAAACTTGGTTAGATGAGTATAACCTCATGAAAAACATACATAACCAGTTATTTGAAAGTACTATCAATGAGATCACATTGGCAGAAATTGATAACGCATTGTATAATCTTCCTAAACAAAAGGCTCCAGGTCTATCATATATTCTTTATAAAGTCTGGATCAATTTAAGCAAAACAGTAAGAAAACAAGTTTGCCTCCTATTCAACAAAGTAATCACTTCCCCAATCTCCAGCATTTTGAAAACAATCTGCTATTACTCTTCTTCCCAAAAAAATCATTTGGTCTTATGAGCTATCGGATACTCAGCCTATCTCGCTTATTGAAACCAGTTGCAAAATCTTTACAAAAATCTTGAACAAATGAATCTCTTCAATTATTAATAACAATAATATACTATTGGGGTTTAATTTTGCTAGTATTAAAAATCAAAGCACTATGAGCCCATTTCTATTGCATTATCAGAGTTTGAAATTGCTAATAACTTAAGCAAGGAACTATGGATGTCCTCCTTCGACATCTCAAAAGTATTTGACTCAGTGAATCTCAATAGTCTTGAAAAAGCCATGAAGAGAATAAAACTTCCTTCTCACTTAATTCAATTAATGCTAAATATGCTTCGCAACCGTGAGCTGAGAGTTATCACTTATTACAAACTAACAGATCCTTTAATAGTTAATAATGGTATTGATCAAGGTGAAACACTTGTATCACTTTTATGAACAATTTTTTATAATCTAATGGTTAGTAAAGTCATCAAAGAAACATATCCAAACTCAAAAATTCTGGCTTATATGGATGACGTGGCTCTTATTAGCTCATCTATCAAATTCCTTCAAACTGCAACAAATATTTTTTGCTTATTTCTGACACTTAATTTGATAAAGTGCAACAAAAGGAAAACAGAGCTAATCATTAATTTGAAAGCCAGGAACCCACTTAGAAATCAATCGTTATTAGTAGAATATAAACCCATTAAACCCAAGTCATACAATGAATTAATTCGATATTTGGGAGTTTATATTTCTGGCAAATCATCTGCATATTCGATTAAAACAAAGCTGAAAGAAAAAGTTGTAAAATTTACATCTGCTATTGCTAATCAAAAAGGCTGGAATGGACCTATCATTAGGCAAGCATTGCATTGGATAATCCCAGCACAACTTGAATATACTATATAAGCTGCTATCCTATCAGACTCTGAAATCAATTTTCTGCAAGCAAAAATGAATAAAGCTATCAAAAGCAAACTGGGAGTAGAACGCACTATATCTAACAAGGCTTTACACTCACAAGCTGGTCTTAATGTTATTAAACTTAAAAACAGAAAAGATATTGCCATGGCAAAGTTTCTTATAGCCAAGCTCATCAATCCAAAAACTGCATCACTGACTAAAAGGGAAATTGAATCTATTCAAATATCACATACAATCTGATTATGCCCTCTATGTGTCCCTCATCACTTCAAAAATTGTTGGATAACAACAGCAGCCCAAGTTGCTAAAAAATATCATATCAATATCTGACCCTCCCCTTGTCTATTTCAAATTCAAAATCATGAATATTCCATAGGTCTTCTTACAAAAATCAACAAATCCACTGCCCTTAATCTTTACTATTCTAATCTTAAAACAATACAAAATACTCTAGTTTATAAACAACATAATAAATTAGCATGGGAAGAACTTCATATCCACCATGGTTTTATTTCGACAGGACCTATCCCTTCTTGATTTAAAAGCATTTCAACTTTCAATAATAATCTTATTGGCAACTCCTTACCTTTTCCTAGGTCAAAGCCATATTTTTGGACATACCTTGATCAATTAAACAATATAAATTTGATTAAAGTTAGATGCAACGCAGCTACTCAACAAATTTTACCAGCATATACTATACTATTCTCAATTCTAAACAAATTCAACAGTGCTCCTGTATTACTTAACCATGTACCAAATCTGTGGATATTAAAGAGTTAAAATCCATCTGGACAATTAAAAGAAATGGACACCACTACATACTAAACAATATTCAAGAATTAATCAATAATTTATCATCCACTTATCAAACTACTCCTTCAATTTTAATCCCACATAATAAGCCTTCCACACAATACCAATCCAACAATATCAAAATATATTTTATAAATAACAAAATCACTCTGGAAAGCTTATCTATAATCTTATCTTTTAAGTCTGATCCTAATCCAACTGCCTCTTTCTGGCCAATTCTTTATAACTCTCTCAGGAACTCCCCACTATTCTCCACAATCACATGTTTTTCACAATACAAACTCAATACTATCCTTCTCAAATACATAAACTGTCAAATTAAACACCCTTACAGTTACTATATCAGAAATATAAATCAGCAACAAAATCTTAAACAAATTACCATTACATGGATTTTTGAGCCATTACAATTTCCAACATCAATACCTCAAGGAATATCAATCACAGCACCGATTTTATCTATCACCAACTTTGACACCTCTCCCCTAATAAACAGTAAATATGCTACAAGCATAACACAATGGATCAAGTTTACTAATTATTACACAAATCTATTCAATCTTCTTCTTAGCCAGTCAGCTACATACAAGCCCACGACCTTGGAAGAGTTTGAAATAATCATCAAAGCCAACAAAAAACTCAAAAAACCTGATTAAATAAAATTCAAGTCACTATCTACTTTCAGGACCAAAATTATCGCCAACCAACTTCCAACTAGAATCAAATTGCATGAGAGATATCCAGATCTGTATAAGGATGATATATGCCCAAGGTGTGATGTTCAATCAGAAAGTATACCACATTTGTTCATCTGCTCACAAAGTAGAAGTACTCTAGTGTTAAAAAGCAAAAAACTTGAAAAATTACTTTTGGAAAACATACCAAAAAATAAAACAACATCTGAAAGTACGAAAGAAATTTTTACAACAAATCTTACAAGCAAAATAATCCTAAAGTTGGCTATAGGCAAATTCAATTCTCCATTTAACATCCTTCAAAAAAAAGATATAATTTCAAATTACTTTCTTAAAATTCTTCATAAAATATGGAAAGAATGTCAGCGACTGCCACCACTTCACCTCTAACAGGTATCAAATGGAAAAAGTCAAAATCATCAGCTCCCAACATTCCTAATAATAATTCTGAAGTAAACATTTTCAAAAATATTCTAAATACTCTTTATATCTCAATAACAATCTTATTGACAAAAAAATTTTTAATCCAGCAGTTATATCATCATTTTGAATAGGCATTAGCCATTCAACATTTCTAACATATAAATATCTACTAAGTGGCCATGCATGTTAGTCATAAAAGTTGCAATAGGCTACAATTAATTTATATATATATTATGTATAAAGATTGTTAATGTAATGATTGATAAACATGTGTTTAATAAAGGTCCTGCATTTAATGCCCATTTGCGATTTTAAAAAAAAAAAAAAAAAAAAAGTTGAAATCATATTTTAGGAATTAAGCTATTTGTCAATGTTTGAGAGAAGTAAGGTCTGTAGATTTTAAGAAGGTAATGAAGAGAACTTTATTAATAATTGCTCTTATTTTTTTCCAGGTTGTTCTGTTAATATAACCAATATTGTTGGCTTTTAGGTAATTATTATGGAATCCTTTTTTCAGTTTCTTATACTTGATTTGATTTTGATCCTTCAGAAAGATTTCTTTGGTGAAGGTCCTGAAGAAGCTATAGTCTCTATATTCAATTTTTATCATTATAGCTTTAGTTGTTGGTTTTATTTCAAAAGAGCCTTCCTTTCTAATTTTAAGGAGCCACTGAATAATCATGTCGGTATTTCTCTTGCATTTGTTAACTTCTCTACAAAGTTCAAGAATTTTAGAATGCTTATCAAGGAGATTAATTTTCCTAATGTCTCCTTCGATTGTTGATAGTGTATTAGACCTGGTAGTGATTTCATTATTATTGACTTCATCTGTCCAGGAGGTGATAACTGTGGCTGAAGTTGGATCAGGTTGTGATGGCACAGTGGCTAGTAAGTTCTACTTATTAATTTTCATTTCTGTGCTAGTATTGGGTACTGCAGGTGTGAGTAGACTAGTTTTGTTAGGATTATACGTGGTGCTTGACTCTATATGAGAGCTGATTTGATTTACATTGTGATCAGAGGTAGTTATATGTGGTATTTCAATTGAATAATCATCCTGTATTTCATTGTCATTGCTTGTTATCTTATTAGAGGCTGGAGTGTTTGGAGGGAATCTGGGTGTTTCAGTTTTTTGTTTCAAAGAAAAAGTGTTGTTTGTGTTTGAGAAGAGGATATCTAATCTGTTCCATGGCATATATAATTTGTAGTTAAGTTGCTTTTTATGATTTTCTTCATTAACTCAGTTCTATCTTCATTAGTTATTTCAAATATATTTTGAAAGTTGAAGAAGACATTGAAAAAGTCTGCTGGTATAAGGTTCAAGTAAGAAATGTCAATAATAGTTATTAATGTTAAGATTCTGATTCTTTGATATGTTTCAAAGAAGGCAGTGATTATTTTAGGTGTTTTTGGACCTTCAGTAATGGAGTGCACTGGTGTGAACTATAATTGAAGTATTTTTAAGCTTTGGAAGTTTGTAGAAGGAATTTGGTGAAGAAATAATGATTTTATTTGTCTTTGTATTTTTGTAAATGATAATGGCTTCTGGTTTTTGAATATTTGTAATGAAAACATCCAGGAGAATATTCTCATGATTGTTGAGTTGGCCTTTGGAAAAAAAAACTCCTTCAGAATCTTTAACAGTTTTTTTTTAAGACGAAATTTTGTGTTTTCTTATTTGTTAATTTTTATTAAATGCAAGATTTTCAGGAAAGAGTTTTTTTTTAATATAAAAATTTTTTTATTAATATTAAAATATAAAAAATTATTTAAAAAAATTATATTTTAAAAAAAACTCTTATTTCTCTTAATTTTTTAAAAAATCTTATTTTTAAAAAATTTTAATAAGATAAGTAACAAATAATTTGTTAAATTATATATTTTTTTAAAGAAACCTTTAATCTTTATTTGTTACTATTGAGAACAAAAATCTTTTTAAAAACAAACTTATTAGTTAATTTCTCTTTAAAGACTAATATTTTTTTCTTAAAATGGATATTTACCTTTATTAATATCAATATAATATTTCTTTTATACTTTAAGTTTTGTTATATATGAATAATCTTTAAGAATTTAATTAAAAAAATTTAAGCTACAAAAGAATATAACTTTTAATTGAATTATTTAAGACTTGAGACATCTTATTAATAAAAATTATATAAAAAAAAATCTTTAATTTGATATTTTTTTTACTTATATATATAATATAAAAAATTTTTTAACAAAAATCAAAATTAGTTTATTTCTATTAAATAATTAATATTATTTCATAATCAATTGTATTTTACTAAAATCATATTATTTGACATTATAATAACAATAATAATAATAATAATAATAATAATTAATTATTATATATTAATATTAAATAAACAACTTTAAAGAGATCAATAATATAAATATTAATATATAATGTTATTATAACTTTTAAATAGCTTATCAAATATATAGAAGTTATGTCTTGCTTAAAAATTTTGTTTCTAGATTTAACAATTTAAGCCAGCTGAATTTTTTAAAGTATTTATTAAAGATTTTGAAGTTATATTTCATTTAACCTTAAAATTTCTAGGTTTAATAATTTGTATTAACCAATAATTATAATTTCAAAGCATTTATTAGAAAATATATATTTATATTTAATTCTTTTTAAATCCACAGCTGCATTAATCAAAGTTGTTATATAAAAAAATTATTTATTAAGTACAGTCAGACCTCCATAAAGGAACCCTCCATAAAAGAACATCATATAAAAACCTCTTTTTAAGAACATCACATCAAAGAACCAATTACTATTAAACTTATAGAAAAAAATCTTCATATAAGAACACCTCTTTATAACAACATTTTTTCAAAAAAATTACTATGGTCCCAATCTGGTTCTTAAATAGAGGTGTGACTGTATATATTGAATAAATTAAATCATTGAGTATTAAATATTATTTTTATCAATGGTTTTGAAGTTTATCAGACAAGGGACTCAAAGTTTCAATATATTAAATTATGAATTTCTATCTTTTTTTAATTTCTGTTAATATTTCTTGAATATTTTTCTTTATTTCTATTTCTATTTTCTTATATTTTATAGAAACACACTATTACTGCAAGTCTAAATTGACACATTTCTCATTTTGCTCTCCCAAGGCAATAACACTGGCAAGAAACATATTTACACTTATATTACTGTTACTAGTGCCTTAATAATAAATCAAATATAAATTATCAGAAATTTTCAAACAAGATCCTATGCTACAAAATACATAAACAATGCATTATTCCTATTAACTATAATAAATTAAAATTATTCTTGACTGGTTTAAATAAAACTTAAAAGAGCTTTCTTTTTTACAACAGATACTAACCATATAAAAGTAAGTTGAACTCTTTTGTCTTACTCTTTTCAATTTCTTCTGTAAATTATTAAACAAAATCATAAAAAATATTATGAACAACAATATACTAAAAAGAAAATAAAGAATACTAACTACAAGTCAAAAACCATTTCAACAATACACCAATGCAATTTATTAACAAAAAAAGTAATTAATGCAATGCTATTAAATAAAAAATCAAACAAATTATATTTCTGGTAGCAAGCAAAAAAAAAAAAAAAAAAAAAACTCTTTTCCGCGCACAACAGATTTCTTAAAAATTTCCTTTTTTGGAAATTATAGAATTAAAGTCAAGGAAAGATGGCAAGCTACAACAGAAGCTCCAAAGCTTCCAACAACCCCCTTCCAACAACAGAATGCACTTGAGATACGAGAGAAGGGCAGGGAAAGATTTAGGCCCAGCCAGAACACAACCATACGCAAAGAAGCCCACCCTCACAGTAGCCAAAAAACCCATTCAACAGTCAACCAACCAAGCCCCCAACACTCACCAACAAACCATAGAAAACACACCCAACTCCAATATACAACCAGAAGAAACATTACAGGAACATTAACAACAACAGATTAACGAACAACCTGTACAACAAAGCCAAGAATCAACAACATCAACCACATCCTGGAGCGATATTGTAGAAACACAGTTTAGCACAACTGACAGACTAGAAAATCAACAAGAAAAACAGGGAAAGACTATCAACAAGAAAGCCCAAACAGCTAGAATCGACGACACAGATGAAGAGATGGAAACCGAAGAAGGAAGCAACCACGAACAGAGATGGCTCTCAGTCATTAAAGGCAAAGGTAAAGAGAGCGACAATCCACAAGGCAGACCAAGGCCAAGATCACCATTCGACAGAACAATCAAATATGGACGAGAACGCTACAAGGTTGGAATCTCAGCAAAACTGGTCAAAGGAAAAACAATACATCAAAAGCTAGAACACATTATCGTTGCCCTCAACTTTTCCGAAGGACTCCTAACAGTACGCAGCGAAGGAAAAAAGATGACATGAAAATCATTGCTATCTTTGCAGATCAACATGCAGCAGACCATGCAACAACCATAGAACTTCCAGAAATGAATAATAACAAGATGACACATATGGAAACCGGACGCCAAGAGATCAACAAAGGAAATTCCATAGTAGTATGGGACATTCCCCTGAACACAAAACTTATAGAGGTGAAACAAGCCTTTACCAAACATGGTCAAATTTAAGAAATCACCATGAGAACCCAAAACCTGTGACAATGTGCCACAATTACTTTCGAAGATCAAGAATCCAAACTCAAACTGGTAAACGCCAGAAGTATCTTAATTAAAGGAGTCTCAGTAAGAATCAACGATGCAGAATGGACACTCCAACAAATGAAACAAAGATACGAGATTGCAGCAAAACTCACGAACCTCCCTCTTAACACATTCGCATGGGACCTTAAAAACATTCTCACACAATGCAAAGGGCGCACGTGCTACATTCCAAGATCAGCAAACAGGGGTTACAAACCCAAACGTTTTGCAATCATTAGCTTCGAAACTCAGGAAGATTTATTGGTAGCAGTACAATCACAATACCAACAAGGAGAAACAATACTATCCTTCACCCCAATCTCAACCAAACTTTGTGCAATATGTGATGCAGCCTCTCACCTGGCCAAAGACTGCCCCATCAAGGAAAGACGCTTGCAATGGGATACCTATAACAAAAATTAGGCAATCAAATTTGGAAACCTATACAACAAATTCAGACCAGAAAAAACCTCAACAATTCATAATATCAACAAACCAAGAACACCCAGATACCCAAAAGCAGGAACATATGCTGCAGCTGCATCCCAAGCAACCAGATCAGAACAAGAAGACCCAACAACCCTAAAAAACATCAGCACTATCCTTAGAGAAATCCAACAGCAACTGAATACAATCAGACACCAAGTTGCAGAACTAGATGAGCGCATCACCAACTTAGAATATTATAATGAAGAATACTACGAAACAATGGACAGCGAACAAACACCAATCTCACAAAACTCGCTGCCCACATCTCAACCCGACAACTCACAAACCATATCTGAAGACAGTTTTGAAGATCTCAGAAACACCCAAACACAACTCTTCTATTCCATCGACGGAATGCAAGACAAAATGAACCAAATATTCACCACAATAGATACACTAGCACAAACCTCAACAAAAGCCAATACCGACAAACAATAACCATGGGTAGTACACACAGCAATCCCAACAACAACAACGAACAACCAGACACAAACACGGCCAACAACCAATACGCTGACAATCACAACAACCTCCTATTCACAATCCAACAACTCGAAACAAACCTAATATGGTCAGACTCAGACTCTACAACAGACGAAAACAACACCACATCATCATCGGAACCCAACAACAACCCCCAACCAGTCAACACAAAACCAAACTTTCAACAAGCATTACTACCACACCACACAAACATCAAACTGATCCTAATCTGAACCCTATGATCTTAGGACACAATTGGAAGATCCTTACAACAAACGTCAGAGGTCTTAAATCAAATC